CCTGGAATACCAGCAATACTCCCAGTTTCTTGCATGCTGACCCCCACCCCTTCCCTCTATGTAATACAACTGTTGTATAAGTTCTTAAAAGTGCCAACATATTTCTAAAAACTATTATGGGCATCACATATGTTTTATATTTATGTTATATACAGTTGTGCTCAAAAGTTTGCATACCCTGGCAGAAATTTTGGCATTGATATTGATAATATGACTAATCATGCCAAAAAATGCTCTTTTATTGAAGGATGATGATCATATGAAGCCATTTATTATCACACAGTTGTTTGGCTCCTTTTTAAATGATAATAACAGAAATCACCCAAATGGCCATGATCAAAAGTTTACATACCCTGGAATGTTTGGCCTTGGTACAGACACACAAGGTGACACACACGGGTTAAAATGCCAATTAGAGGTTAATGTCCCACACCTGTGGCTTTATAAATTGCAATTAGTGTCAGTGTATAAATAGTCAATGGGTTTGTTAGCTCTTACGTGGAAGCACTGACTAGGCTAGATACTTGTACCCCCTGGCAAACAAGCTTCATTTATCAATACAGCAAAATGAAAGCTGGACATCTTTCCTAAAGAAACCAGATTATTCCTTTCATTCTCAAATAAAGGACTAAGAAAATGGCACGATGCGTCAGATTCAGCAACTAATACAGTTCTTCCACAGACGCTTCTAATACATTTAATCAGAATTGTGATACGACTCTGCTAACAGTTAAGTAACTCTGCAGCAGCACGTCTCTACCTTGTATATGCTGCACACTCAATGCAGACAAAATCAAGCCTCCCAAATACAGAGCAGGCATTTATCCGAAAACTTTCAGCTAGAAGCAATTTGGAAGCACTGACCCGAGTCGTGTTAACCTACCATCATGCACAAATCTCTAAATGCTCCATTAAAGTCTGACTGTGACAACAAATACTGCTGGTCTATGCTGGGGCTTCTTTTAATTCTAAATACAAAGCACTGAACAAATAAAACAAGAAATAAAGGTGGGCACAAAATATAGAGCGGTGATACTACATGCCACTGGAAAAAGAGCATAACCCTGGGTTCACACTGATATGGTGCGGAATTCCCACCGGTTCATAATTGCACCCCGTTAATGCGAACTGCTGCGAGTGTGTATGATAACAACACCCCGAAATTGGTTCGCAAAACGCAGTGCGATGTGCAGAATTGGAACACATGGATGTGAATACTCATGCGATCCAATTCTAGTGTGGACAAAAAAAGGGTCCTGCATCTTTTTGGTGCGGATGCGGTGCGATTTGAGCTATACAAAATGTATGACTCAAATTGCACTGCACAGAATTCGCATGTGATTTGCACAGGAACGCGGCGTGGTTCCTGTGCAAATCAAATGTGATGTTCCTCACTACAGAATTGTGAACCCAGGCTAAATGTAGTAGATTCTCGAAGATAACGAGGTTTAAGGGAGCAAGAGGCAAACACAGGCAACATTTTAAAAAAAAGGGAGGGGGGTTGTACAACATTTAGAAAATGGGGTTTGTCCTACTCTCATCCCAGAGGGGTTCCTCTCTGTTTTCATCCCAAGAGTTCCTAAAAACCAACTATGATAGGGGGCTTAGGAGAGTAAGGGCTTGTTGCGGTTTGGGGTGGGGGTGGTAAAACCCCATCATTGAGCTCTCTTTTTACCATTCCCCAATCACACACACTTTAGCTGCAGTGTACACATGTAACAGCCAGAGGAGGAATTATACACACTGTCACTCTGCAAGTGCCCTGCAACCTTGTGTAGTACAGAGACCAAGAGGATAAAGCAGCAGTGGGGAGGCATTGTATCTCCTCCTCACCACCTGCTTTACCCTCTTGGACCCCACACTAGCATTGCACATGGTTATAGGGCATTTGCAGAGTGGCCCTATTTACATGATCACCCACTGAAAGCAACAGGAGGTATAATTCCTGCCACAGTGTGTGAACACCCTCGGCTGCTACCTCAGTAGCAGTGAAATGCACATGATTCTGACAAGGTAGGATAGCAATTATAGGTTTAAATCAAGTGGTGATGAGGCAACACTGGGTGACACTGTGCCTGGTGATCTTTGACTTTCCCATGTTGTTCAAGTAGATTTCCACCTCTTAAGGTTGCCTACCCCTGCTCTAAATTAATGATAAGATTTGCATTTGCATTCTGTAAGTTTAGAATATCTTGATGCCTCTTCAGATATGAGTTTTACAGAACTGAAGAATAATTTTCCACATCTCCTGATATGCCTTTTACATCTAAGTCTAAGCCAACTGTGGCACAAGAGACATCATCTAGTACAACTACTAAATAATACATTATAATATAAACACCCTATCCAGCCACCAACAGATGCAACTAATGTGTTACCTTTTCAAGGGCATAAAGTATACTTTTACCCTGTACCCATTGCTTGCACAATTCAAATACAATGGCTTTCTTATTGTGTAGAAACACATGAATGGTTTTGCTTAGTGTGTATGCCTTTCAGTACTAACAGATTAAGTCAATTCATTTATCATGGTTGAAAAGTTGAACAAATACATGTATGTGAATGTGCCAGGAACATGTGGGATCTGCACAACATCAGGCAGCAGGAAATCTATATCTGCAGGATACAGCATAGATAACGAAATTCTAATTCTGTTAACCTGAGAAATATGTAAAAGGAGAAAATTATGTCAAAACCATGAGTTTGTGAAGAGGCTATCTGGTACCATTCTGTGCACTGTCAAACTATGATCTTGTTTCCAGAAGAAAGGTTGAAGCTGCTCATATTTAATGTAACCCTGATCAAAATCATGGTTATCATCTTGAGCTTGTTTTGCATCTTATCAAAAAATTATAATCTCCAAAAGCTTGTAGAAGAGTTGGGACCCTAAGTAGTAAAAGAGAGGCACACCACCCCAATAGTAGAAGAAGTGGTGGTCTGGTAAATATATTAAAGTAGAACTAAGGGAAAAAACCTTTTTTTTTTCAATTTTGGAAAGAGTAAGGGAGGGTTATAACCCCTGTCAGTTTATTTTTTGCCATCTATGTCCCATTTGGGAGATTTAACTTTAATTCCTGTCCTATAGCCAAAACAAGAAGTAATCTCTGCAAATTAAGGGAATTTTTTGGGGACCCCCAGGTCACCTGAACTAGTATTCCCATTAGAAAATGTCCCCTTACTTTTCTGGGGACCACCCAAATTCTGGGGTTTCTTATACTTTCACTTTCAATGATAAATGGTAAACAGGACAAATAGGGATGCTGAATCCCCCTAATGGGGCCACAGACTGCTTTAAAAACCTAATAATAGGTTTTCTAAGCCACTCTGCCCAAAACTAAAAAAAAAGTGTTGCCTTTAGTTATACTTTAGGCAAAACCACAAATAGCCACTTCTTGGAACACATTGCTGAATCCCCTAGATTTTACAGTAAAGCTGTGAAGCCAAAACACTGCTTAATGCTTGCACACAATATAATAATTTGCTTTTCTTATTCCTATTTCAGCAAATCTTTGCTCTTGTCAATCCAGTTTACAGGAATTGTAAACTAAATTTGGACTAGATATTTTACAGGCAGAATGAAAGGTGAAAATTACCAAATGCCAGATTATGATGCTTATATTTTCAAATCTAGCTACAATGGTGGAACCATTTGTCACAAGACCAGCGGTACCTCTCTGTTGCATTCCATGATTTCTGCAATTAAAATCCATTTACTACATAAACAGCTCACCAAAAAAAAAAAAAAAAAAAACTGGAGCGTTATCACAGGGTGAACCCTTTTCTAACCCCCTAAATGGCTTTCAGATTTAAACTTTGTATGCAGTCAATGATCAGGTGACAAAACAGTCCGTAAAGTAAATTCTCGAAAATGAAACCTAATGTATGACACACCTGAAAAAAGTGAAAGTCACCTACTGACTCAATCTAACACGAACTCTATAAGGGGTATATTTATTTTACAAAATGCATATCAATTCACCCAATAAAAGTACGTGTACATTCATTCTGTGGAATTGGGGCAAAAATGGTTATTCTTTGTGCTGTGTGAATGTGTTTTAATGATTTAGAGGGTCATTTTTCAATGATACTTACCGGTATCCCCATCTTGTTTTATGGTAAGTGCATTATTTTCTAAATTTAAATCAATTAAATACATTCAACCAGCACAGAAAATAGCCTAATATCATTTGTTTGTTTTGCAGTATTTACACAGAATGGATGTACATGCACTTTCATTGGGCGAATTGCTATGTATTGTTTTATGAATACTGTAGACCCCTAAATCTCAGGCAACATCTACATAACATTTAGAAAATAAGATACTATATTATCATAGCAATTGAATACTTTTGAGGTGATTTGCAAAAATAGCTATTAATTTATGTGATAAAAGATTTGCTACCTATATACAAAGTGCAAAGTTATCAGTGATAAAATTATTATATGTCCAAGGCTGGCCATATATTATACAATTTTCTTTTAATTTTCCTTTAGATTTACCTTCAACTTCACTATATTGCCAATAGTATTGAGACGCCTGCCTTTACATGCAGACGAACTTTAATGGCATCCCAGTCTAAGTCCGTAGGGTTCAATATTGAGTTGGCCCACCCTTTGCAGCTATAACAGCTTCAACTCTTCTGGGAAGACTGTCAACAAGGTTTAGGAGTGTGTCTATGGGAATGTTTGACCATTCTTCCAGAGGCGCATTTGTGAGGTTAGGCACTGATGTTGGACAAGAAGGCCTGGCTCGCAGTCTCTGCTCAAAGGTGTTCTATCAGGTTGAGGGTCAGTCAAGTTCACCCACCAAACTCTCTCATCCATGTCTTTATGGACCTTGCTTTGTGCACTGGTGCACAGTCATGTTGGAAAAGGAAGCATGCAATTGTCCAAAATGTCTTAGTATGTTGACGCCTTAAGAGTTCCCTTCACTGGAACTAAGGTGGCAATCCCAACCCCTGAAAAACAACCCCACACCATAATTCCCCCTCCACCAAACATTACAATTGGTACAATGCATTCAGGCAAGTACTATTCTCCTGGAAAACGCCAAACCCAGACATGGGCGCATAGTGGCTTAGTGGTTAGCACGTCTGCCTTGCAGTAAATGGGTGATGGGTTTGATTCCTGAGCATGGCGCCTCCTGCATGGAGTTTGCATGTTCTCCCTGTGCTTGCGTGGGTTTCCTCCGAGTGCTCCGGTCTCCTCCTACACGCCAAAGACATGCTGGAAGGTTAAATGGATCCTGTCTAAATTGGTCCTAATATGTGTATGTATGAATGTAAGTTAGGGACCTTAGATTGTACACCCCTTGAGGGTTAGGGACTGATGTGAATGTTCAATATATGTGTGTAAAGCGCTGCATAAAATTGACAGCACTATATAAGTACCTGAAATAAATAAATGTCCATTGGATTGCCAGACAGAGAAGATGATTCGTCACTCCAGAGAACACATCTCCACTTCTTTAGTCCAGTGGTGTCCGGTGCTTTACACCACTGCATCCAAAGCTTTGCATTGCACTAGGTGATGTAAGGCTTGGATGCAGCTGCTGAAAACCCATTCCATGAAGCTCTCTACACACTGTTGTTGTGCTAATCTGAAGACCACACAAAGCTTGGAGGTCTTTAGCTATTCACTCTGCAGACAGTTGGTGACTTCTGCGCTTCAGCATGCGCTGGCCCCACTCTGTCATTTTACGTGGCCTACCACTTCTTGGCTAAGTTACTGTTCCCAGTTGCTTCCACTTTGTTAGAATACCACTAACAATTGACCATGGAATATTTAGTAGCATGGGTGGACTTATTAGATAGGTGGCAACCTATCACGGTACCATGCTTGAATTCAATGAGCTCCTGAGAGCGACCCATTCTTTCACAAATGATTGTAGAAGCAGTCTGCATGCCTAGGTGCTTGATACACCTTTGGCCATGGAGGTGATTGGAACACTTGAATCCAATAATGTTCAAGGCTGTCCCAATACTTTTTGCAATATAATGTATGTAGTGCAATGGCATGCCTGTAGCATAAAAAATTAAAATGTTTAGGTTTGACTTCATATTATATGGTTTTGTAAATCTAAAAGGTAAAATGTGCAATGTAAGGCCAGCCTAAATATGTGCAAAATCTCATAATCTTTGCCATAGGAAATGGCTTGCTACTCTAGAGAGCAAAATCACATAAAAGGTGAATAATGCCTAAATAACTTATTTTATGTTCACAACACACAGTTCTGGTGTATTTTTATCAACAGTAGAAAAAGAAAAATACGTAAAGCATAAAAAGGCTAACAAATAGCACAGAATAATTTAATTACCCTATTCCATCAACTATCTAGGCTATGAGGTTGAAAGACCTTTCCTGGAGAAAATGCTGCTCCAGGCTCCCTCCAGTGCTGCCCATTACCAAAGCCTAAAGGGCAATAGTCAAATGATTTCTGCTGAAAGAAGGATTAACCATTGCAAACGCTAATCTTTCTTTGCATCAGATATCTCTAGAGATGTCCTTGATATTCGAGTCGACCGTAAGTTCGACTTCGAACATAGACTGTTCATGTGTTCAGCGAACACACGAACATGAAGGGAGTTTGGCGGGCTGTTCGCTCTGACAGTGCATTGTGATTGGTCAAAACAATGCACCTGACCACAGCTCAGGTGTAGTGCCCCCATTATACCCTAATTTAGTCTGCTGAAAGTAAATTTCTAATTGGCTGGCAAAGGCAAAGAGCACAATTGGGCAGAGCTAGTGGTGATGTCACAGCTAGCTCCGCCCAATTGTTCACATTTGACCGGCAAATGTCAGATGCGGCAAGTGCCCGGCAGGTGCAGGGTTTTGTTTTTTTTTTTTAATTTCTGTGAGTTGGCGTTGTCATGGCAACTCTGGACGCCGTGACTAACTATGGATTACAAAGATGGAACAATTTTTTTGGCTTTTTTCTTTATATATATACCTACCGAGCAAGCCTAAGTCCTCCATAATGCTAATAATGTCACTAAATTAACATTCCAGGGTAATTATACCTCTGTCAAGGTCTACTTTGGTTCTAAAAAGTTTCAAATGACAAAGCATTTATTTGGCTCGAAGGCACACTAAATAACATTCTCACGGAATTTGCTGGTTATTATTTATCACACAGGTCACAAGAGCAAATACATAGATGGCCATTTCAGTGTCATCACAGAAAGCAACATGCAGAATTTTCAATAAACATTAGCTTGGCTCAGTTCTCATGCTTCACTGGACACTTGCAGGACACACAAAATGACCACAGGCTCAGTATAAGGGAAAGGGATTTCATCATTTTCATATACAATGGGAACAGTCTTCAGGGGCTACAGACAGGAAGCAGCGCCTATACTGATCTTTTCTTTTTTTTTTAGGTCAGATGCCCATATGTCAATACTTCCCAGTTATATTTGATAAATAATGGTATATAAAACTTGGCTTTGTATAGAAAAATATTGTGTTCTTATCTGCCTACATCAGGGGTCTCCAAATTTTCTAAACAAAGGCCAATTTACTGTCCTTTGGACTTTAGGGAGGCCGGACTGTGGCCATTGGCAGTCAAAAAGGTCCCAACGTCAGTGGGGAAAAAAATTTCCATCTTTGGTGTTTGTGGAAAGAACAGTGCCCTATCGTTTTTTTGTCATTGGAGGGAATTGTGCCCCATCATTCGTGTGAAAGGGGGAACAATGGTCCATTGTTGGTGTTTTAGGAGAAATTGTGCCCCTTCATTGTTGCTGGGGGGGGGGGATGGCTCATTGTTGGTATCAGTGGATGAAATAATGCATCAGGGGCCACAAAAATGCAAGCAGAGGGCCGCATCTGGCCCTGGGGCCCCAGTTTGGAGACCACTGGTCTACATAATAGCCCGCTTCCCTCTGCAGTTTAGTCATTCTGCTTTTAGAACCTGCTCCATTAAAATTAAGTAAAAAAAACAAGTTTAACTGCCTATGATTCAAGCTGCAGCTTTCTTTCTAATAGCAACTTTTGCAGAGAAAACACTATGACAGGTATCTATAGTCATTTAAAAAAAAAAAACAAAAAAAAAAAAAACAGTGGTATAACATAATCCACAGAAGAAATAAGTTTTTCAGTATTATACTCTAATTTAGTCCGCTGAAAGTACATTTCTAATTGGCTGGCAAAGGCAAAGAGCACAATATTGCTCTTTGCACCAGAGTTATGAAATGTCATGTCACAAACGGCATGCATAGAAACATATACATTCCTTGTTGGTCACTTTAAAACAAAACTTTTTTTTCTTTATATAAATATCTGGTTTTACTTAGAATAGTCATGTATCTGACTGAGGGCTCAGACTGTGCCGCACCTGAATGGGAATTTTCTATGTCTCCCTCTCCTTTAAACCAGACATTTCCCAGCTTTGCAAGACACAGCAGTCCTTTCCTTCAGTGCCGATTCATACATCTGCATTCTGGATTTCAAGGTCCGATTTTAGTGTGTATTGCAATCTACTTGTTCAGCGGTTCAGGACCAATTTTTGTGACACAGATGCGAATTGTACTGTTCACAGGTTCAGGGCCAATTTGGATGTGATTCTGCAAGGGTTTTTTGGTTTTGCTCAGGTGTAGAGGAAGGGGGAGGACAGCAAAAACTGTGCTAAAACTTGATTCTGAACTGAAATCCTGTTCACAACGATGACGTGCAATTCAGAAATAATTCCCATAGAAGTCAATAGCTTCTAATCCACACCTGAACCAGACCGCACTGCTCAGAAATTGGACAGGACTCTTTTTCAATCTCCACTGAATCTGCACAGCTAGGGCACCAGACATATGTGAACGGGCACAATTGGAAGCAATGTTATTTCACATGTCATGTGGTTTGGATGTGGTTCATACCGCATCCATTCTGTATATATGTGAACAAGCACTTGTGCATCTCTAAGCAGCATCGTCCATTGGCAGTCATGCAGTAGCAAAGTAAGGCAAGCCATAGATTATGCAATACAGGAATGAAAACCACGTTGCAAGAAAGAAAATCGCTCGATTTCCCCCCATCAATACAGTAGGTTTTGATGGGTGAATCCCTCCCCGGGCTATTGTGTTCTCCTGGAAGGGAGCTTTCTAGCCAGCAGAACACAATGATTACTACTAGAAGGTATAGCCACGGGCAGTAATCACATGCTAACAATCCAATAGGCTGGTTGTACCCAAGTTGATCGATTGATCGACTTGGGTACAATCAGCCTACCTATTGAAGGGTTGAATCTTGGCCAGTTCCTGCAGAACCATACGAGATTCAATCCATGTATAGCTGATTTTACAGAAAGCAGAGCTTATCAGTCTGCTGCTTCTCTTTTCACTGTCCAATCACAGACTGGGGGAAGGAAGAGAAAAAATTATTTTGTTACTCCATCAGACAGTGCTGTGTAGCAGAGCTGTGTAAATTTTGGAATTGGATGGGCAAATATAAATCTTTTGGGAGTTAAAAGAGTATGGATTATATCTGTGTATTTAACCGCTTGCCTAGAGTTTAGCTTAAAATAAATATTACTGCCAAAGGCAACTGTCATACAGAGAACTACAGCTGGTACAAACAATATATTATCATCATGGCTTAGAAGAGGGGAGAGAAGTGGAATACCCCAGCCAACTCTGCTAGTTTCTGAGCCCACGGCAGTGACACAAATGACTAATGGAAAAAATAAATAAAAAAATATAACATAAATGCAATAATAGCATCAGACGAGGCAGCTTCATAAATCCTGATTTACAACTAGAATAAATGGGAAAAATCATACATTGATCAAAATGAAACCTTTGGAACTGAAAGGATTCAACTTTTTGTTTAGAAAGTAAAAACATCCATACTCAGCAAAGCAAGTATAGAAGGATACATAGCATATGATAGTATGTTAGATAATAATAATACAAAATGCAATGCAGACATTAAGTCAACCTGTGATCTTGTTTTAAAGTAACCAACCACAAGAAACACATGCGTAAACATCATTAATGTAAGCTGTCCTTTAAAGATCATTGCCTATTAAGATTGGCACATATGCATATGAAGCTTTGGATCATATAATTAAAAGGATGATCTAAGTCTATGTATAATTCCAGGATCCTGAAAAGTTATAAAAGGATTTGGAATTCAGAGCACAATTCAGTTACGTATGGGAGTGTTGCAACATATTTGGAGAAGCCAAAAATGGACTTGGGAGGAACTGGATAAAAAAAATTTATGCCTGACGTGTGACTGCTAATGTAGGGTGAAGGGGAGGGAGGGATTGTAGGATATTTGGTTAATGTACTCACCGTTATTAGGTGTTTTTTGCCAAAGGCAAGAAGCACCTTTTGCACTCGCCTGATTCTGTCCATTTGTAGTTAAGAAAAAACCACGCCCACTTGTGTCACATGACTCATTTTGATAGTGATCCTTGATGGAATGCACAACTGTCGGTGAAGGTAAAACACACCAAGATATGAGGATCGCCTTGCAGCTTGGTTATGAAGGAATTATAGTGCAATATAAGGTTATAATCACAGAGTTCCAGTGGCAGAACTCAATAAGTAGGTCAGTGCTCTATCGATAACGTCCTGGTAGGTTACTTGCTAATATCAAGGTACGAAAATCCTTTAATTCCACTGGGTATAGTAAGGTCAATGGGCTGTGTAAATAGGAGTTAGTGCCCCACAGCAAACACTAGAAATAACTCCCTTGAAGGTATCGAACCCATTGGCTGTGCTCTAGTTGCATCTTTACTTACACACTTCAAGGGTCATTTGGAAACTGCACAGTGAAGTATATCTAAAGACAAAACTTTTCTTTGTAAAATAAGCAATAGTTAAAATCTCTGCCAGTTTTCTCATTTTGCCATTTCTGCCCTATTGTGATCACTGTTACTGGGACTGAAAGTGAATGGAATCCCTTCTGGTAGTGAAGGGAGTGTCCCCACTGGGAGAGGCTGTGAATACTCCCATCACACAAGTTCCTGGAAATGGGCTCAAAAGTAGCAGGCTCTGCAGCAACTAAAACCTAAAAACTGGAATCATCACAGATCAATGCACAAATTTGCCAGAACACCATGGATTACCAAGTGTCACTAGAAGCTTTTATTGAAGAAAGATCACATCACAAAGGACCAAGTGCAAGAATTCGGAGCACCGCAGGACCCCTTAGTCAGGCATGTGAAATAAATAAAAGAATATAACAAAAGCAATAATAGCATCAGAAGAGGTAGCTTCATAAATTCTACATAATACAAAATGCAATGTAGATATTAAGTAACCAACAAGAAACACATGCATAAACATCATTAATGTAAGCTGTCCTTTAAAAATCATTGCCTATTAAGATGGAATCGCATACCTGAAGAAAGGGGTTCTGCGGTGCTCTGAAATGTAGCACTTTGTCTTTGTGATGTGATCTTTCTTCAATAAAAGCTTCTGATGACACTTGGCGATCCATTGTGTACTGGCATATATGTGCATTGACCCACTGGGAGATGTTCTATTCCTTTTCCTGGTGACAGCTAAAAATGTTAGGTTTTCCCCCAAGTTCAGGTCCGGTGTCAGTGGTCAATAAATAGAAATATTTGGCACCATGAAAAAATGTAACAGACTTTACTGAACAAGAACCAAAGTATACAATTATTTATTATATAATTAAAATATAAAGATATTAAATATCAATGTTTTAATGATATTTAGTCCTCATGCACACTGGATGTTTTTACAGCTGCTGTTTTTGGCTTTTGACATTTTTTTCTACAACTAGTAAACCCCCAGCATGTTATCCTATGTGCCCATGGACATAGACTGTAATCAACATTTTTTGGCAGGGACGATTTTTGGCTGGAAAAAAAAAACCAGGACTACTGGGTTTCTAGAGGAGTTTTTTTAGCTGTAAAAAACACTCTAATGCTGAAAAACACGGTAAAAATGCCACAAACCGGCATTTTTGGATGTTGTTTTGACAAAAAAAAACTACTAAAACCCGCAAACGTGGAAAAACGCCGCTAAACGCTAATGCAAAACCGCTAAAAAAAAGTTGAACAGTGACAGGTAACGTTACCAGCGTGATCAAAATGCCCAGTGTGAATGGAGCCTCAATGTCTTCTACAGTGGCGAAAATAAATATTTGACCCCTGCAGATTTTGTAAGATTGCCCACTTACAAAGTAATGAACGGTCTATAATTTTTTTCAGGTGTATTTTAAGTGATTGAGACAGGATATCAAACAAAAATCCAGAAAAAACACATGATACAAATGTTATAAATTGAGTTGCAGTTCAGTGAGTAAAATAAGTATTTGATCCCCAACCAAACAACAATAATTCTGGCTCTCACAGACTGGCTTTGTGATCAAGTGGTACACAGATTAGTCCTGTCAATTTAAGAAGGTACTCCTAACAAAAACTCATTATGTGTATAAAAGACACCTGTCCGCAGAATCTCTTTCTTCTATTCAAACGTCACCATCATTGGCAAGACCAAAGAGCTGTCAAAGGACGTCAGGGGCAAGATTGTAGACCTGCACAAGGCTGGAATGGGCTACAAGACCATCAGCAAAAAGCTTGGGGAGAAGCAGACAACTATTGGAGCGATTATTTGCAAATGGAAGAAATACAAAATTACCCATCAATCGCCCTCAGTCTGGAGCTCCATTCAAGATTTCGCCACCATGGACTGAAATCCTTCAGCACCCGCAAGGTCCCCTTCCTCAAGAAAGCACATGTACAGGCCCATCTGAGGTTTACCAATGAACATCTAAATGATCCAGAGAAGGATTGAGAGAAATTTCTGTGGTCAGATGAGACCAAAATTGATCTCTCTGGCATTACCTCGATTTGCCGTGTTTGGAAGAAAAAAAATGCTGATTATGACCTTAAGAACATCATCCTTACAGTCAAGCACGGAGGTGGAAACATTGAGCAATGGGGCTGTTTCTCTGCTAAAGGTGCAGGTCGACTTTGCCGCACTGAGGGACCAATGCACGGGGCCATGTATTGTAAAACCTTGGTTGAGAACCTTCTTCCCTCAGCCAGAACACAGAAGATGGGTCATGGCTGGGTCTTCCAGCATGACAATGACCAAAAACATATTGCCAAAGCAACAAAGAAGTGGCTGAAGAAGAAGTACATTAAGGTCATGGAGTGGCCTAGCCAGTCTCCAGATGTTAATCCTATAGAGAATATATGGAGAAAGCTGAAACTTCAAGTTGCCAATTGACAGCCAAGAAACCTTGGGGATTTAGAGAAGATTTGTAAAGAACAGTGGACCAAAATCCCTCCTGAGATGTGTGTAAACCTGGTAACAAACTAAAAAAAACATCTTACCTCTGTGCTCTCCACCAGGTACTAAGTCATGTTTTACTTGGGGAATAAATTCTCATTCTACTCAATGAACTGCAACTCAATTTATAACATTGGTATCATATGTTTTCCCGGATTTTTGGTTGATATTCTGTCTCTATCATTTAAAATACACCTATGATAAAATTATAGACCCTTCATTTATTTGTATGGTGGCAAACTTACAAAATCTGCAGGGGATCAAATAATTATTTTTCCCACTGTATACCTTTTAATTTTGTAATAAATACTTGATTTTATACCAGGGTTGTTGTCCCTGGTACCAGTAAAGTCTGTTACTTTTTTTTCTTCGTGCTAAATACGTTATAGTAGGATGTGGTACGCAGTATGGCAACTACTTTCATGGAACAAACAGAAAGTCAATTTCCCCAGTGGGATCAATAAAAACTTCTAATCCCTCTTCATTCCATCTGGAAAAAAAAAAAAAAGGTTTTGCTGTAAACACCCTTTACTTTACATGCGGATAAGAAACCACTAGTACATTTATTTAATAAAATAATAGATTCACAAGTTGCTTCTTTTTAATGGATTGTGAGCTAGATACATAGCACCCATTCTTAAGGCATATCTAAACCCACAATTAAAAATATAAAGCCGAACAAAACCCATAGATCTGTTTCCCCGTAACAGAACTGTCAAGCCATCAAATGCTGGTGTCATATCTGTTCACATGGCAGCTACAGATCAAACAGAGGCTAAGATGGCAGCTTCTTTGGCTGTGAAGGATTGGAGGTTTTAGTTCCATTTTAATATGTTACATAGTATGCACTATGCTCTGCAAATTGTATCATCTCTACAACCAAAATTCTTCATCAGTGTTCACTTTTAAGCACCCTGTCATGGAGACAGATGGATTGTAATTTTAAGGGAAAAAAAGAGTCACAGATGAAAGGGAGCTCAAGAGTAATAATACCATAGGCACCTTTAGAAAAAATAAAAAAGGTGACTCATTGTTCCTAACCTAGCAATAGTCCTGACCAAAACTAATAACTTCACTCTCAGCCCCATAACAGGGAATCTTCTACAATTGTTGCAAGGCTGCCATTTTGCTTGGAAATACCTTAATCCACTCCAATCCTTCCAAATGTTTCTTTTTTTTTTTTTCATTAAATAGCTGCACTACATCACAAAACAGCCACAAAAGGCCACATTTGTACCTTCATAAATGACCCTTAATGTTCTAAAGTATGTTAACAGCATTTGTGTTGTTTTACGTTAAGGTAGATAAGCAAACTGGGAGAATAAAGGAAGGGTGTATCAGCATAGCAAGGAAGAAGCTTGGAGAGGTAGCACTGGTGAACAACTCAAGATGCAAAAAACATCAGAAGACTCGGCTATACATACTGTGGTACTGTCCGTCTGTCCTTTTATTTCCTTTAGGGAAGAAAAGCAATCGTAAGCCAAGATTAAGAAGAAAAATCTAAATGTTTTGTGTTCGGTAATAAGACAGAAACTTGCACTGAAAGATGGCAATCTGAGAAAAAACAGTTAAGAGTGAAATCTATGTGATGAATACAGCCATTCAGCAGCAGTGAATTTTCCACTCTTGGTGTTATGCCAACACTCAAGAGGTAAAAGAAACAAACAGAGTTTTCTAATCTAGACAGATAATCAGCTGGCATCTTGGAGATTCATCACAAATGCTATAACATTCTGTCTTCGGCCCTACAGAAGAATAAAACAAATCTCACCGAACCACAGCTGTTTAGACCAGCAAAATATACAGCGCACCTGAGCTTGGGTCAAGGATGATTCATAATTTACAATCAACCTGAATGGAGGCAAGTACATTTTGTTCAATAGGAGACCCTTTTGAGTTATAAAAGAATAAAAAGAAAAATGTCTAGAAAGGAAAAACATTTGTATATAGGCAAGGTGAGTATAGAAGGATACATTTTTCTGATTGTACTGATGTGATGTACATGCCACACATTCAGAGGAGGAAGAAATATTTTGTGTGTTACACCGGCAGTCATAGAGGGTAAGCCTACTCAAACCACAATGACTTCATTATGGCCACGGGACATTTTTATATGCCAAATAAACACGACTTTAGTTGGAAAGCTGGAAATGCTCATGTTTTTATTCCTCAGTGTATTAACATAGCGAGGTATCTTCCTTCCACAGCTCTTTAGTTTTTCCTAAATTACTAATGAAAGATTTCCGTCCATTGGTCCAATGTAATACTCCAACATGATTGTAATATAGTCAGCCCAAGTGTGAGCAAATTGTATTGTTATTGGTCAGGCAAAGTCTTAAAGCTCATTTTCCGTAGAAACCAGCTTAGCCTGTGTAGAAAAGCCAGTCCCCTGCCAACAGACTGTTGAGAAGGAACCTTGGGAGATCATTTGCTAAAATTGGAGCGTGCAAAATTTGGTGCAGTTCTGCATAGAAACCAATCAGCTTCCAAGTTTTATAATCAAAGCTTAATTGAACAACTCGACGTTAAAAGATGACTGGCTACCATGCACAGCTGCACCAGATTCTGAGTGCACCAGTTTTAGTAGATCTTCCCTTGCTGTCTGTTGAAAGCAGTTGGCTCTCTGCAGAAGCTTGACCCCCACTAAGCCAGCACTGTAGCTCCACCATAAATGAAACCCGTGCTAGTGCTGACTGTAGAACTCCTGCTCTGATTTAGCAGTAGGCAGGGTGAACCTCTGCAGAGAGACTACTGCTTCCACAACAAGAACAAGGGTTCTTTTATGCAGCATGCTGGCAAGGGACAGATGTTTCTTACTCTACTTTCTGAGGAAAAACAAATGTACACTGAGCACACCTTTTGGTTTGATGCACCTAAAATGTATTTAGCCATACTAAAACTTTAGTTAGGTTTTAAATGTATTTATTTACTGGTATTCCCATTAATTTATACAGTGATTTTAATTCCAAAAATACATACACTCTATTTTCTAAACTATAAAAACATTTTGAAGTTAAATAGAACTTTCCCATCTAGATAAGGAAATGCAATCTAGAGGATTTGCCAGCAATTGGACATGCTGCACATTTACATTTCGTGGATTATCTGTTCAACAGCCCAAGTAACTATATGCTGTACTATCGGCTAAATTTGCCCTGAAAGGAGGAATTTGTAAAGCGGAGTAATATTGTAACGATTAAACCAGTAAGGCTAAAGAAAGACCATCAGGTTCAACATTTAATTACTTCTGATCCAGGAAAAAGCGAATAAAAAAAAAACCCAAAGAAAAAGCTAAAATCCTGTTAGAAAATTCTGTGCAATAGAAAGCCAATTAATCTCTCATCGTAATATGCTACACTGTACTATTCTGTAAGTCAGGGAAATGACTATTGTGGGTCCTGCTAGTGCGGTGCTTCAAGGTACATTGGGGACATCTCCTCCTATCAATCATTTTGGGATAAAACAAATTTTGTTTCTATATAGCCATCTTAACCATTTGAGCTCTGGAAGGTTTTCACCCCTTCATGACCAGAGCATTTTTTTGCTATTCAGCACCGTGCTAATTTAATAGTCATGCAACACTCTATCCAAATGAAATTTATATCATTTTTTTTTTACAAAAATGATGGTATTTGATCACAACTGGGTCTTTAATTGTTTTGTTATAAAAGCAAAAAAAGACTGAAACACGCAATATTTTATACTTTGTTAAAAAAAACATCGAATAAAAAAATCCAAAAGTCTAATTTTGATTTAAAAAAATTATATTTTTTACTTTTTGTTATAAAACATGATCAATAAAAAAATATCTAATTTCTTCATAAATTTAGACCAAAATGTATTCTGCTACAGAACTTTGGTAAAAAAATAAAATCCCAATAAATGTATATTAAATGGTTTGTGTGAAAGTTATAGGGACTATAAACTATGGTGTATATATACTGAAATGTATGCAGCTATGATGCTATACTGGTAATAGTGGTGATCAGTGACTTATAGTGGGATTGTGATAGTGTGTCGGGCAATCTGACGCCAACAGACCCTTGCTGGGAGGTATGCTGACAATGACATCAATACTGACATTAACCACTTCCCGTGTGGCCGTTGTATATAAACGGCTGGACAGTGGCAGTGCAGGGTTGGGTGGCTGTTTATAAATGGCCTCCCCGCCCCCTGCTTGTGCACGCTTTCCTGGGAGCGTGCATCACCGCGATCCGGTGCCCGCTGTGTCCTCTGGACACAGTGGAACACCAATCGTCGTACGGGACACCTCTGCGAGGTCCCGATCATGTGATCACTGATTGGCCAATCAGTGATCACATGCAGAGTAGTAAGCAAGATGTCACTTCTGACATCATTGCTTACTACGTGTGAAATCTGTGAATGATCACAGAGGTCACATGGTACAAGGCTATTCACAACAGCCTTGTACCATGTGACAAGCTGTGACCAATCACAGCTCACACAGTAGTTCTCAATTGCTACAAGAATGCAGCCAGAGAGAAGGAGAAACAATTGCTTTTACAGCCTTTATGGGTGTAAAAGCAATCAGTAAAAAAAAAAAAAAATCTTCATCACCCCCCCACAAGTAGTACCGTGTCACCATGGTGACACTGTACTGCTAGGGTGACAGTATGTAAAACAAAAAAAAAAACGAATTAATAATAATATAAAAAAAAATAAACATAAAAAAAAGTTTAAAAATTATAATTTTTGGTTATAAACTAATTTGGGTTTTTTTCTCACTAAAAATATAACGGAATAAATTTTGGCTAAGATTTATGATGAAATATTATTTATTTGCAAAATTTTATAAGAAAAACACTTTTTTACAAAATTTTGGGACTTTTTCATTTACATAGCAAAAAAAATAAAAATCCCAGTGGTGAACAAATACCACCAAAATAAAGCTATATCTGTCTCAAAAAAATGCTAAAAATTCATATGGGTACAGTGTTGCATGACTGCGCAATTGTCATTCAAAGTGTGATAGCGCTGAAAGTTGAAAATTGGCCTGGACAGGAAGGGGGTAAAAGTGTCCGGACTGGAAGTGGTTAACACAGTGATCAGATATAATACAATACACTGTCTTTGTACCAATGACACTGGCTGGGAAAATCAAGGGGTAATAAAACGGCTAACTGTGTGCATAACAAGTGTAATGTGTGTATTAAGTGCTGCTTTTACTATGAGATCTGGCTGTTTTTCTCCCTGCTTTGCAGCAAGCCAGATCACTGCTCTGTGTACAGAGTCCTGTGTGTTTGTAAACACAGGACTCAGTGCTGTGATCTGTCAGCAGATCTCAGCCATAAATCATTTGCTGACACTTACAGACACAAATACCACTGTGTCCCACCACAGCATGGATTGACTGCGTACGCATGCGAGCCCAAACCCAGAAGCAATCTGGCAACGTTTATGTACGTTGCTGAGACTACAGTTGCAGCCCAGTCGCAGTAAATCTACTGTGACCAGGTGGCAAGTGGTTAAATGGATATTTCCTTTACTCATAGTCCTAGAACTAAAAAAAAAAATTTACACAAGATCAATATTGACCTCTAAATTACCTACACAAAATGATTACCTCTCCTCTAAAATGCCCATGTTTCTAGACTAAGCATACCCTTTACGTAACCTTTATGTATAGCAAGAAATCCATACCATTTTCTAAAAAAAAAAAAAAAAAAAAAAAAAAAAGGGGTCTACTCCTGAACCCTGACGCAGCACTTTTATTGACAGCCCTTTCTGGGAGATCATCACAGTCAAAGTTTATGACAATAAGCAGCTTACTTAAAGTGATTCTAAAAGCTTATATTTAAAAAAAACAAACAAACATGTCTATACTCTCCTGCTGTGTGCAGTGGTTTTGCACAGAGCGGCCCGGATCTTCCTCTTCTCGGGTCCCCAGCAGTCTCTCCTGACCCCTCCCTCCTGTCGGGTGCCCCCACAGCAAGCAGCTTGCTATGGGGGCACCTGCTGCTCTGTGGGTCCATTCACACACGGAGCCACAGCTCAGCCCTGCCCCTTCTCTCTTCTCAGTGGCTCACTGGCTGTGACTGACAGCAGTGGGAGCCAATGGCTTAGGTGAGTATTAGGGGGTGCTGGGAGAGCTTCTGCACAGAGAAGGATTTTTACCTTCATGCATAGAATGCATGAAGGTAAAAAAACCTTGAGCCTTTACAACCACTTTAATTTGAAGGAATCTGCTCATATCTCAAGGGCACCTCAACTTTATATGGTGGTGATAAGAAGAGTACCCACCTATGTGTGTTTGGGCCATAACATCTGCTAATCTGTGTGCAGCACTGCTGCCCCCCGCTCTGTGTGGAGGAGGAAGAAGTGGTTGACGTGGTTGATCCGTGGATTGCTTGGCTGATCCAGTGCTCCATATTTATACTCCCTTGGCTTGAGGTGGGAGTTCCCTGGGAATCCCCTTGTACTGAGCCTTCATCCTCTGACCCTGAAGAGGTATCTATCCAAGACAAAGTGAAAATTAATAATCTCAATACAGGGAACAAGAGACAAAAAAGGCCACAGTAATGTAACCTGCTACAGTCTTTGAATTGAAAAGCTGTGGCTCCATTCTGGTATTACAGAATTACACATAAAAGTAACACAAATAAAATGTTAACACTACAAATATGAAAAATAACAATTATAACCCTATAACCAAGAAATTAGTTCAAATACTCACTGACCTGGAGGTGTGTACGCATCCATAGATGTTTGCACCACCAATGAGCGTCGTTTTGATGGCATAGGTACAGCCATTTTCCTTTCTTTATGTTTAGCAAGGGCTGCCTGGACTGCTTCTGTGTGAACATCTGCAACAATAGAATCAGTACAAAGAAAGCGTTATCATTATTACAGTTAAAACTATTTAAGCCTTAAAGCAGTATTAAACCCGAAACCAAAAATGTAACATTAACATAAGCAGCTTATCAATCATTAGATGTGGTGGCTGCATTAGTTTTCTTTTTTTTAGGCTTTTTCCCTCTATTTTAACCTGGTAATCTGACCAGTAACACACCTCCTGTATTAGAGTGGCCCTACTCTGGCTGAAGGAGCACAGGGGCACGTTTAGACAGCAGCATTGTTAGCCTGTTGGCAGAGAGTGTTAGATATAATAACAGATTTAAATATGCTAACAAACTGAAGCTGAACTCCAGCTAACACTTTTAAAGCAGTTACAGGAAACCTTTTGTCTCAAACCTGTTACTGCTACTTCTCCAGGATAGTTTGTTCTGTTGAAAAACAACAGACTTACTGGACAGATCACCAGGTGAAAATAAAGGAAAGAAAGCCTTAAAAAAAAGAAAATTAATTGGGCCATCGCATCTAAAGATTGACAAGCTGCAATACAAAAAATGTTTGCTTTTTGGTTTAATGTTGCCTTAAGACTGAACAGTGGGATACTTCAGCAAAAAAAAAAAATTGCCTCTAGTTTTGGTGACCATGAGAAAGTGTTAGAATCTATGCCATGATCTTATTTCTACATATCCTGATGCATCAGGATTTATTGGGCAATCTATAAACTGGGACACTACAACCCAGACCACAATAAAACCAGAACAGAAATAATAACCTATAAAAAATTAAACAGTTTATCTGGAGTTCCACCTCATTCATATTCCACTTTTTCACACACATTCATTTTACTTAAAGCTGTTGATTTAATTATATTCATCAATGGCCACAAAGGACATAGATCCACTGTGTATGCACCAAATGCATTTGCAAACAAATGTTACTTTATAAAAGTAGCAGGGACCTTATTACTGTTCTGTATATAGCCAGTGTCAAGAGCAGAGCTGTGGGAGGGGTCCAACAGGCTCCAACCACTACAGGCTGTCTGCAGAAAACCAGGAGGGGGTGGATACAAGACCAGCCACCCTGTACAAGGAGCGGGAGCAGCACTGACCAGTCTTGATTACAGGAAGCTCAGTGATTCATTGGGCAAGAAGTAAGGGCATATATGCAGCAGGGGCCAAGACAGAAATAAAAAGCTGACTAGGGTTCCAGCCTTACACTACTAAAAGAAGCCTTTTTATTTCTGTCGGTATTGCAGTTGGAGATTTCACTCTCACTTCCTGTCTGGTGAAATCACTGGAACACTAAGTGAGCGGAAATCTCTTTGACGGAGCCCTGAATAGTTGTAAAAACAGGGCCAGGGTTCTAAACCTTTCCCACCCTATCCAAAAAGTAGAGCAACATTTGTGGTGAATAAGAAGTGTTGACCAAATCCTCCTATGGTGTTTGTGTGGCACTCATGTGTGTTTTAACTTTGCAAAAAAAAAAAAAAAAAGGAGAGAACATGGTCATCATGACACACTGGGGTTGATTGACATAAAAACCTGAAAGCTGATTTCTATGCAGAGCTGCACCAGATTTAGCATTCTCCAGTTTTAGTAAAAGTTTAATTGAACAAGCTGAAGTTAGAAGCTGATTGGCTACCATGCAGAGCTGCATCAGCTTTTGCCCTCTCCAGTTTTAGTAAATCAACCCCACTGTCATTTCTCACATGATCCCCCCACCCAGGGGCGGACTGACAACTCATGGGGCCCCCAGGCAATAGGGGATCATGGGGCCCCTGTGTCCTTGCCTAAACTCAAAAAAGCCTATGAAAAAGGTACCAGGGGCATCTCATGGGGCCCTCTACTGACCCTGGGCCCTCGGGCAGTGCCCGAGTTTCCAAATGGTCAGTCCGCCCCTGCCCCCACCAGACCCTTACACAGAGTCATTATGTACATCGTCATTGCCTACGTGACATGCTCTGCAGTCCAAACAAGCAAACTATCCAAAGACCAAACACTGACCAAAACAAACATCTTACCTGAACGATAGCGCTCATCTCGTGAACCTGAGGACCGTCTGCGATGATACCTGGAGGAAGAGGAGGGGGTGACGGGCGTTCTACGTTCCGGTGGCAGTACTTGATCCACCCCTACAAGTATAATAATAATTAATACTTTAGTGTACGTTTTATAAGGGAAGACCTTCACTAGACCTCACTTTCTCAAAGTCCTTACTTAGCAGGGAATAGACTTTTTTTTAGTCCAGTTAAAGCTGATAGTATTCACTGGCATTTTACTAAAACAAATATATATTTTTGGGATAAAACGAGCTGGCCCTTCCTTCTTAACACCTAAATATTAAACCAAATTTGCAGTTACCATCCAAGATGGATTTTCTATGTAGCATTCATCTATTGCTCTGAGGAAGGGAGTTTGACTCCCAAAATGCATTAGCACTTTATCCGAGGACCCATGCTGTCCATGACAGGCATCCTTTGACTTCTTGTCTCTGTTTTTATGAACTTTTTCGCTTGCGAGTATGTTTTTGCTTTTTTAAATAAATTTCACATTATTACGGTAATGCACGAGGAGAGTGCGCCCTGTTTTGTTTTTTTCTGCTAGCATCAATTTTTATGTATGCCTGTGAAAAACCCACATCATTATCATCATTGTCTTCTTCCTGGTGGATTTAGCATAATATACATATACATATACAGTACAAAGATCACAAACTAGTTAGACAATAGTTTTTAAAGGATTTTCTATAGTGCATTTTCAAGTATTATTATTGTAGAGCAAGTTTGATATGACTTTTACATTTTCTCTTGTTTTTCTGCCTGGTAGCACTAGGGTCGTCTGTTTGAATTCCAACCACAGCACTACCTGCATGGAGTTTGCATGTATTCCCTGTGCTTGCATGGGCTTCCTCTGGGTACGCCAGTTTCTTCCCACACTCCAAAAAGACAAGCTGGCATGTTCATTGTCTCCTGTCTAAATTGGCCCTAGTATGTGTATGTATGGATGTGATTTAGGGACTTTAGATTGTAAGCTACTTGAGGGCAGGGGCTGATGTGAATACACAATAACTATCTAAAGTGCTGCGCAAAATGATGGCGCTATACAAGTACCTGTCAAAAATTAATAAATAAATAAACCTGTATATCAATGCAACCAGAGTCCTTGATGAATGACCGCTCAGAGAAAAAAATAAATAAAAGTACAAGCAATCTAGCTTTTCCATCATTAAGAAGTATAAATAATTTGAATTAATTAGATAAATAGGCTTAAAGGATAAGTTTACTTAAAAATAAATGCCCATTTTGTTGCAGGTAAAAAGAATGTGCATTTAGAGAAGAGGAGATTAAGGGGGGATATGATCAACATGTATAAATACATCAGTGGTTCATATAGTGAACTCGGTGTAGAGCTATTCACCCTGAGGTCATCACAGAGGACAAGGGGGCACTCTTTACGTCTGGAAGAAAAAAAACTTTAATCTCCAAATACGGAAAGGTTTCTTCACAGTAAGAGCTGTGAAAATGTGGAATAGACTCCCTCAAGAGTTGGTTCTGGCCAGCTCAGTGGATTGCTTTAAAAAAAGGTCTGGATTCTTTCCTAGATACACAGAATATAACTGGATACTAACATTTATAGGTAAAGTTGATCCTGGGAATATCGGATTGCCTCTCGGGGGATCAGAAAGAATTTTTTTCCCTGCAGGAGCAAATCGGATCATGCTTTCCTGGGTTTTTTTGCCTTTCTCTGGATGAACTGTGGGTATAGGATTATAACTTTTTTTTTTGTTAATGGTTGAACTGAATGGACTTTTGTCTTTTTTTCAGCCAGACTAACTATGTAACGATGTTTACTATTTTTTGGAGCCTGGAAAGCATTGCACCATCAATCAGCAGATCACTGGTGCCATGCAGTACTCCTGCAAACAGTCAGTGTATCTGTGTGCTTGTACATCCCATACAGGCAAGCAGATGCAGTCTGACAGGAAGACTCAATGAACTACCAAAGTGCTCAATAGTGCACAATGGTAGTTCATTGAGAACTACAAGCCGTCAGCCACAGAGGATGTCAGGACTTGTAATTCATTCATTCACAGAATGCTGTGAATGAATGACACGGCCGCACTCTTTTCAAAAATTGACAGCTAATACGGAAAACCTCTCCCCGTACTGTCATGGGTGGGGTGGAAGGGGATCGGGCAGAGGCAAGAACATGTACCATGCTCCCAAAGATGAACTTATCCTTTAACGATTTGTAAATGTAAACAATGTAATAGAATATTAGTTCTTATACTAAACTTATACTATGTTATTCATATTCACAAATCTTTAACCTCATCAATCTAATCAATCATAATAATTCATGCTTTACATCATCTATTACATCTACAATGATACAGAGCTCTAGATGGCTTCTCCTTTGGCAAACAGCTAAATACACAGTTAAACATACTGTATGTGTGAATAGTCTGAAAATTCAATTTCCTATCCCAATAATGAGTATATGCTGGGATTACAGAAGGCTGGCCAGAGACAGATTAAGGTAAGGATTTACATATTTTATGGTGTATATTCAGCAAAGCCTTTTGTGTCATCATATTCAATAGAGTGGGGAAGGGTGAAAGCCCTGTCCGTTTTTACTGTCTGGGACAGATTTTCTCTCACTTTCTGTCCCAGTGACAATGGTTTGAGGAGCAGAAAGAGCTGCTACAGGGCCATGCTACAGCGCTTTGGTCCTCCCGCACTCAGTGGTTCCTTCCGCCAACCTTCACATCACTACAGGAGACAGTAGTGACATTCAGGTGAGTGGAAAGGACAACTTAGTGCAGCAGGGGGACACAGGGGATCAAAAATCCCTGGAAGGGTCAATTTCTTTACAAACTTCAATATTTTTTTTTTTTTTTAACACAGTGGTAATTGGATGCAGGGGCAGCATGAAAAGTAAATATTTACTGTCAATATTTACACGGACAGATACTCAGGCAATTAAAACAGAAGTGCGGGATTTTCAAAAAAAATGTATATGCAGTATCAGTCCGATGCTGTGTCTGTCCCCTGCCACATCTACAGAGAGAACTGAGCAATCAAAGACCACAGATCTCGCAGTCTTCAGTAAGCAGAGAGCAAACGGAAGGTCTCTGCTCTGCCCCTCCAGCACTCACTGGAACGCTGGGCTGTAAAAAGGGTGGGAGCAGTTGGCTCAGGATCTCAGCAGTGTGCTGGGAGGCTGAGTCACCTGCCAGTCAGGCTTCTGGGCGAATGCCAACATAATTGTCAAGATCCCTGCAGAACCTGGACCAGCTCTATGACTTCAGCTTTTAGTTATTGTATTAAACATAGTATTATTATTATACAGGATTTATACAGCGCCAACAGTTTGCTCAGCACTTTACAATATAATGGGAGACAATACAGCAACAATGCAGTTCAATACAAGAGGGTTAGGAGGGCCCTGCTCCTTGGAGATTACAATCTAGTGCTTCTGCTGTGAGTAAAACTATTTTCTCACTCAAATCCCTAAAACATGGCAAAGTGCAGGTTTTATTCTGTTGCAGTGCTACTTTAGAGGAACCAAGAGGGAATTTGCAAATGAAGCTGCCCAAGTATAATCAAGTCTGTCGGAGATTCACACATGTGTGATACGGATTGAAGCTCAGGTTTCACAGCTAATGGACACAGTAGTTGTTCAGCGGTTCAGGTCAGGTTTAGATCAGGTTCAGGTCTGGATTTTATCTTGTTCACAGCTGATGACATGTGAGGTTTAGAAACTGTTCCCATCAAAGTCAATAGCTTGTAATCCACACCTGAACTGGACCGCACTGCCCAGAAATCACAGGACTCTTTTTCAATCCGCAATGCCAGTGCACTGGACATACACTATATTGCCAAAAGTATTGGTACACCCCTTCAAATCATTGAATCCAGGTGTTCCAATCACCTCCATGGCCACAGGTGTATAAAATCAAGCACCTAGGCATGCAGACTACTTCTACAAACATTTGTGAAAGAATGGGTCACTCTCAAGAGCTCAGTGAATTCAAGCGTGGTACCGTGATAGGTTGCCACCTGTGCAATAAGTCTATCCGTGACATTTCCTTGTTACTAAATATTCCGCAGTCAACTGTTAGTGGTATTATAACAAAGTGGAAGCAACTGGGAACAACAGCAACTCAGCCACCAAGTGGTAGGCCATGTAAAATGACAGAGCAGGGTGAGCACATGCTGAAGAGCAAAGTGCCCAGAGGTTACCAACTGTTTGCAGAATCGATAACTAAAGACCTCCAAACTTCGTGTGGCCTTCAGATTAGCACAACAGTGCATAGAGAGCTTCATGGAATGGGCTTCCATGGCCGAGCAGCTGCATACAAGCCTTACATTACCAAGTACAATGAAAAGCTTTGGATTAAGTGGTGTAAAGCATGCTGCCACTGGACTCTAGAGCGCAGTGGAGACGTGTTCTCAGGAGTGACCAATCATGCTTCTCTGTCTGGCAATCCGATGGACGTCTCTGGTTTGGCGCTTGCCAAGAGAACGGTACTTGCCTGACTGCATTGTGCCAAGTGTAAAGTTTGGTGGATGGGGGATTATGGTGTGGGATTGTTTTTCAGGGGTTTGGCTTGGCCCCTTAGTTCCAGTAACGTGACAGACATTTTGGACAATTTCATGCTTCCAACTTTGTGGGAACAGTTTGATGATGGCCTCCTTCCTGTTCCAACATGACTGCGCACCAGTGCACAAAGCTAGATCCATAAAGACATAGATGAATGAGTTTTGGGTGGAGGAACTTGACTGGCCTGCACCTCAACCCGATAGAACACCTTTGGAATGAATTAGAGCAGAGACTGCGAGCCAGGCCTTCTCATCAGACATCAGTGCCTGACCTCACAAATGTGCTTCTGGAAGAATGGTCAAACATTCCCATTGACACACTCCTAAACCTTGTGGACAGCCTTCCCAGAAGAGTTGAAGCTGTTTTAGCTGCAAAGGGTGGGCCAACTCAATATTGAACCCTACAGCCCAAGACTGGGATGCCATTAAAGTTCATGTGCATGTAATGGAAGGCGTCTCAATACATTTGGCAATACAGTGTATGTGAACAGGCACCATAGGAAGCAATGTTATATGTGAACCTGCCTGTTAAGCATTTCCAAGATGTGCAGCCAAATTAATAAATGCCCCCCTTAGACTTGTATTGTGAGAAGGTGCCGTACAGCACAACCACTGTGCAGAAACGTCAAAAAGGATGCAGAGCCCCACTAATGTAATGAACAAATACAGCTATCCACATGTACAAAATACAAACTATACACTGAGACAACATTAAAACATATTGGCAAGAAAATGTTGGAAAATCCAGCTGTAAGTATTTATTGCCCAATTTATATCCTGGCATGACTGTGAATTTGCTCAGTTTCCTGTACAATAGGTTTTAATAGACTGTGTATGCTTACTGCACATGCCCCAAATGTGTGGAAGAAATACAGTATTCACAATATAATTTGTACATCACACTACTGTTTGCACTTTTTGATGCAAAAAAAAAAAAATTACTGTATAAACACTATGCTGGCAGAGTCTACGAGTGCTGGCTGTATTCTGCATATGACAAATACATTCAGGCACAATATGGTTTACAAGTATATCAAATTATATTTATTCACATATAATGTGTGCATTTTCTGTATAACATTTTTTCTCTACAGATAAACATTCAGCGCTGTGCTGTCTGCAGCGGCTCTCTCCTCTTCTCTCCGCTCTCACAGGCTTTGCTGAGACAGTGAGAGCCATTGGCTCCCGATACTTTCAGTCAAATCATGTGATAAGAGAATGGGGGTGGGGAAGACCCATGCTGTGTGTATCTATTGATGCATGCAGTGCGGCTATGAATCAAGCCCACAGGTGTGCCACCATAGGAAGCAGGGGGTTTTATACACAATCCAGTGGCTGCAGCCACCGGAATTGTGTATAAAACTAACAAGCAGACTTTTGTCTGTCAGGTGGAAGCAGTCATGTGGCTGAGCTGTCGCCCGATTGTTTCCACAGCCCCAGGTACCTGTGGCACCCCCCGCCCCCCAAGCTCTCCTGCCATGTATCCAGGCTCTGCTTGCCCATCTGAGAGCACCATGGCGGGTGCCGGCAGGTGGAGGAAAGACAGGAAAGCAGACGAACAGTCCGCTCTCCTCCTCCTCTTCTTTCTGTGATCAGGAAGGTTACGTGTATGCCGTCACAACCAAGTCACGGCTGTCACTTTCCCCAGCTATAATCAGGGAGAGATGTATTGCAATGCAATCTGCATTCAGTGGAGCCCAGAGGAAGCATACAAGGTCTGAAAGAGATAAAGAGAACCTGTCACCTAAAAATCATCATGTAGGAAACTTTGTGTCCCCTACGTGATGAAAAACAAAATTTTGAGGCCCCTACATATATACTGTACATGTACAAACGTAAACACACATGTTGGGGCGCATACGTGTGAAAATGTTGATGGTGATTAACATGTTACATATCCCCGTGCAATGCTGGAGTGAGAGCAATAATTCTAGCACAAGACTTCCTCTGTAACATGAAACTGATGACCTATAGGGGCTTTTGACGCGTCACCCATAGAAAATATAGGGTACTGACGTTTTTCGCCATTGCATAGGCCCACACAAATTTAAGGTTTGAAAACATTAATTGGCTGTCTTAATGCAACACATGTTAACATTCGTGTGTTCCTGCGCAAATGTAAACTAGGCCTTAATGAGGTCTAGTCCAATTTTCTACTCCCAAGAGAATAAAATTAGGTCTGTATCCAGCACCCATTGGTACATATCCCTATGGTTTTCAAAATACTGGCTTCCTCCAATGCTATAAAGCTTGTATACCCCAAAAGTGGATGATTTTGTAAAGCATGTGCACAGGCAGAGCTCTTGCCAAATGGCAACCAGTTTTCATGGTTCTTTTTTTCAAAGATAAAATGTGATTGATTGTTAAACGACCACAGCTGATGACTCAAGGATACAATGTAGTACATACCTGGCGGTTGAGGCAGATATGCTCCTATTAACTTTGATCTCTTCTTCTCATAACCCTTCTGTGTGATATCACCTGCAAAACAAAGAAATGCATCATGAGAATAGCATTATTTAAACTATACTCATTACATAGATTAACCCTGATTTGACCAGTATTAGGGAGTCGGTCTAAAGACAGATTTGTTTTGAATTTTCGCAAACAGCTTAAACAAGGCTACTGCACGGGGCCAAATTTATAGCATATGGGGATACATAGAAAATTACGGTTGTAGTTATGGCAACTGGAAGCCACAGCTGCAGCATATTTTTGCACATAGACATGCATTACAATAACCAATGTACATGGCTATAAGTGTGTAAATGCCAGTGTGCACCTTTATATGCATACAAGGGTATATTTCATTGTGACCATATATGTGCAGTGACCACGCTTCTTCAAAAAGCTTAGTCCACCCAAAAGTGATATTCTAACTATAGTTGCAACCTGGATGGTTGATTCAGGCCCTGACCTCTTATAACTCTTCAATAATCCAACCGCAACATCTCTCTTCAATAATTCCTGACTTTGTATCAATCCATCTGGGAATTTCGGGTATTACTGTCCAACCCTCTGTCAGGTGCTTTACCTTCAGATTCTACAAACAAAATGGCGCTGGGATAACAGGGAGTGAGCAGCCCACAGAAGCAGTCATTGGACTACAAATCTTCCCAGACAGACCAACCTTTTGAACATAGCATCAGACTTTCTAGTCTTCACCTGCATCTAAATACTTTAGGTGAAATACTAGTCCAAGTCCATGACGGCTGCTTTTCAAATAATGTAAGTGGAAGCCTAACTAAGCTTAAATCTACCCCCACCTCCATTCTAAGCCTTATGCTAACTTCCCTGAGAAGGCAAGAAGTGTATACTTACCTAACCTGAAGGAGCTCTGGTCTGGTCACCATCTCACCAGGGGCCAGCCTCAGTGAAGAGGAGAGATCGGCAACAACAGCTGCAGAGCCTGGGCAGTGACATCTCCCATAGACTTACCGTGGGGCATCCCTTGTCAGCTGTTCCTCCTCTACACTGAAGCTGGTGCTAGGACTCCATCATGTGACCAGGGTGCTCTTAGATTAGGTTAGTATAGACATATTATCTTTACAAGGTAGTTAGAACAGGTTTAGAATAGGGATGGAAGTAGGTTTAAGCTTAGGTGGTTTTTGACCAGAGTTCTACTTTAAGCATACTTTAAGTTTTCTAAAGCAACACCGATTTTCTATCAGTTTAAAGGGAGAGGAACAAGTCATGAGTCAAGTGACCGGTCAGCATACTATAAACCTTAAATATTGTTCCCAGTACCGCAATCATAAAAACATTTACATGCGAATCACAGTAACTAAGGATTTTCCTTCAGTGCTTGCTTCCAAGTTACATGAAAAAAATATTTTAAAAATATCACTGCACTATTTTTAGACAGACATGAAAGAAATTATCATTCACAATCCAGTTTGTTGTTTAAACGCTTAGAACAGAGTAGAAATTATGATAAAACTGTGTGAGTAAACAAATTAAATTGCTGGCAATGAACAGCAAAGACAGCGTTTTTGTAGGATAAATCTTCTAAAGCCAATAAATATGACCCAAAGAACGGGCACTGACCATCTCTACAACACATGGACTTATTTAATATGACACTGCAAAGCACAATGATATACAACGTGAACCCACAGAAGAGAGGAAAACAAAATATCCTTCAAGAAGAGGAGACACGAAAGCTGTCAGGACCAGTGCTGTGGATAGATGTTGCCAGGGAATTAACTTTTTTAACCTTCGTTTTCTAGCCAATTACTCTGTCCCCAGCAGTGTCACCTGCGCCTAATGGTATATCCGATCAGGCATCTCAGAGTCTTAATCAGCAAGCAAAAGAATGCATTCAAACATCATGTGTGTACATTTTATAACTAAGGACACTTTTTTCACAAGCTGTTTTTTTTTTTTGTTTTCAAAGAAATGTGTCTAATATAGTAAGTACACATCCTCCGGGTAAAATGTAAAGAAGGTAGAGGTCCCCTCAGCATACTTTGACCACTGGGAATTGCGAAGGGGCAGTATTAATGTGGCTTCACCATATTATAGAGAGCGCAGGGCCTGATCTGAGGTATGGGCAATTCAAATTATACATGATTTATGTACTAAGGCAAGAGTATTTGGGACTGAGGAGAATTATGAGAGTATGATCTAGTACCCACGTAGTAGACTGTAGTGATGTCCTAAGTGTAAAGTGACTGAGATGGGTCTTATAGGCAGCAAAAACCATTCATAGCAAGATTCCAACCTGTCCCCACCTTTGCATCAGCAGAAAAGGACCATCAGGCTACACATTCTTAGCATATGCACATCACAGCACTGCTAATTTATGCTGGCCATACACTAGGCTACTTGGTGGCTTTCAACCTGCTTTTAAGATCAACTCTAAACCCATTAACAAAAATGTGAAAAAAAATGGTTTTCAATGGAGTTCAAAGTAAAAGCAGGCAACACGAGTATGTGAAAACAACCAACAATAGCAAAGAGAACAAGAAGTTTTCAACTTACTAGATTTCAGACAAGATCAACAGGTATGATTTCGAACTTATCGAACAGAGATAGCAAAACACTATAATTGGTATATTTGAAATGCCAAATGAAAGCAAATAAGAGAGGTATGTTGTTGGGGTTTACATACACTTTAAAAAATCACTGTTACCTAGTTTCCAGCGACCAAATGGAAAGTATAGTGTAAATCAGGACTGAACAATACCCGACTGACAAGGCTCTGAGGAAGAGGTCTTACTCTCAAAATACATAAGCCACATGCTATCCTATGCGATCTGTTGAGCATGCAAATCTGGAGGCAGTGTCATCTGTTATTTATGACACGCTCACTTTTCACATGTGTTTGTGAGTATATCACTTGCTTTTATTTATTATTAACATTTTTTGATGGTAATGCACTAGGCCGGTGCACCCTCTGTTTGTGGTTTTAAAGATCATCATCAAAACTATCTCAATACTACTTGAAAGGGTTCTTTCAATCAATTTCCACCCCACTTTTATAATTTGAAATCAGGGAACAATGTTGTTAAAATATGTTTGAAGATAACAAATTTACCCTGTGTGTGGCTGACAATAGTGACCCCTTGGCAGATACTGGTATGAGTTAAGATTGGTTTATTAATAGGCTGACAATCAATGACACCAAATTATGCCCCACATACAAATATTCAATATTTGCTCCAGACCCCCTCCTCCCCTTTATTTGCATTTATTTAGAGTTTGCCCTGGTGATTGCAAGGCTAAGAGCAATAAAATTTGATGAACTGCTCATACTCTTATACAGTAGTTTAACCACACTGTTGTCAAAGCATTTTGGTAAGATTATACTGCAGAAAAAAGGGACATGAGGTTATACAAGGATTATATATATATAAATGTGGTAACAGAATCCACCAGCAAATAAAACAAATGAACCACATCTTTATTTTATACAACAAATGAAAAAAACAAGCAATGGAGTTTTCTTTTAACTACTGCAGCTGGTCAGATGTAATTATATTTAGCGTTCTGCTCCAATTTTCTAAAAAAAATAACCACTGAAATCTTTACATTTGAATTTTGGGCTCTCTCCTGATTTTTTTGTGTGAAACAATATGTTGCTTTTTAGGCCTTTTTTTAGGCATTCCTCCCAAAATAGGAATAAAAACTCCTCCCCCGCTGAGCAAAATATAGACAGATGAACTGTCCTCCTTCATGTTTCTAAAGTGCCCACAAGGAATAGGTTTGAACCTTTTAAAGAATATAGTATGTCATCACCTTGGGCTTATGAGTATAGGACGGGGGGGTGGAGGATTTTCCAAGAGGAGGGTTTGGAGGACCCCCATGGAGAGGGGGAGGAGCAAGGGGATCATTCTACATGAGAGGAAGAGGGGGACCATACTACCCACCCAGAAGGGGGAGGGTGGAGACCACCCATGGTTCATCAGGACCCCTATTGGGGAGAAGTAGAAGGAGGGGATGTAGAAGGGGGAAAAGGAAAAAGAAAAAGGTCGACCTAAATCAAGGGATTTTCAATTTAAGTGACTGTGTTTTAAATGATGAGGAATTGAAAGTTTTAGCGTTAGGTTTGAAGTATGCACCGGATAAGAAACGTAATAAATTAGAAACTTATATTGATTTACATAAATTTACGAGAATCTCAAGAAATATTGGAGTAATAAGATGAGTAAAGGTATTGTTAATGCTGTTTCTGTAAGAAATGAAGGAGATGGTGATCCTTATTCAAATATCAGCAGTGATGTTGAAAAAGGAAATGAGGGTCTATACTTGCATACTAAATTAAGAAACAAATCTGTATTCAATCCCAAAATAGGGAATAACTGTTGTGTTGATACATTCAAAAAAAATGGTGGAATATGATTTGGATAAACTGTCTGTCCCTTGGTCAAGGAAAAAGCAGGATCTAGTAAGGGGACTTCAAAATTTAGAAAAAAATAGGAATATTGTGATTAGACCAGCAGATAAGGGGGGAGGTGTTGTGGTATTAAATAAGAATGACTATTATGTAGAATTGAATAGATTAGTTGATGATGTTGACACCTATGAAGTTCTGTAGGCCAACCCCACTAAAAAATACAAAGCCAAATTAATTAAACATATTAAGGAAGGAGAAAGGATTGGGATACTTAATAAAAAGGAAAGTAAATATCTAGTACCGAATGCTCCATGAGTGCTGGTTATATACCAACTGCCGAAAATTCATAAGAGCTTGAAAAACCCACCTGGTAGACCTATCATTAGTGGGATTGATTCCCTTTTTTCTAGATTGGGTGAATATGTTGATAAATTCTTGCAGCCCCTGGTTCCTACTTTCCCTGCATATTTAAGGGATAGTGGAGATTTGATTAACTTGGTTAAGGATATCAAAGAAGAGGGGGATTGTATTATGGCGAGTGTTGATGTCAACTCACTTTATACCAATATTAGACATTGTGATGCATTGGAATCGGTAAAGTGGGCCTTGGAGCCAAAATCAGGAATGAAATCGGAGCAAAT